TTTGAAAACTAACAACAAAAATGTTAAGAAAGCAAAAGGAGAAGTATTCACTGCAAAAGTTAAAAAAAAAACTTCTAGACTTCATATGCCTATAATTTATTCAACTAAGAAGAGAAATATCCCTATATAAAACTCATAACATGAACTGATAGCCCACAGAAGAAATTATACAACTGTATAAGGAACATATGAGAATAAATATAATATGTATATATCTGAAATCTGCTGTAATAAAAAAAACTGAGGAAAGGGTTAAGAAAAAAAGTAAAGAAAAAGTCACAGTGAGATGCTTATGAGAGCTGAGGGATTGGCAAGATGGTATATGCCTTTAATCCCAGTGTTCTGAGATGAATCTGTATGAGTTGGAGGCCAGTCAGGGATAAAAAACAAGGAGGAAGGGGAAGGCCAACTTTCACATAATATGACAGGGTAGGTTCCGTAAAGGTGACTGAGACAGGTAACTTACTTAAAAGTTGGCACACTTTAATGCTTACTTCCTCTTTAGATTGTTTTTTTTAAGATTTATTTATTTATTATGTACACAGAAGAGGGTGCCAGATCTCATTACAGATGGTTGTGAGCCACCATGTGGGTGCTGGGAATTGAACTCAGGACCTCTGGAAGCGCAGTCGGGCTCTTAACCTCTGAGCCATCTCTCCAGCCCGTTTTTTTAACAACACTTCATACAATGTAAATACTCTGCAAACGTGTTATCCTATAGTGTTTAGGGGATAATGACAAGAAAAAAAAGTCTCCTGTTCAAACAGATGCAATTTGAAAAGAAACAAACAAATCTTGCAGTGTGCAGTTGGTTGAATCTGGGGAGGTAGAACCTCACATAGAGGGCAGAATGTATTGCTTTCAGTCAAACCTGATGAGAAAAAAAGGATTCTATAGGGTGGCCAGAGAAAGTACCGGGAGACCGCTCTTACGGAAAAAGCCACTCTTAAGCAGCCAAATGAGGAAAGGAAAGTGGCTCAGATTCCAAAAGATGGAGAACAGTCATGCGTGAACAAACACAACACAACCAGCAGTGCTCCAGCTGCTTGCTGAGCATGCCTAAAGTACGAGCGCCTAGAAACGTGAAGATAAGGGGCTTTCAGAAGCAGAAAGCTACCAGGCTGGAATTCCCAACGTCTGTGAGATTAGAGGGCATAAGACCGCCATGCCCAAAGTTGCTGTGGATTGGGTCAAGTAGAAACCCTGCCAATTCTAGCTCTACATCTCAGATGCATGGTTTCTGCTGAGGCAGCCTTTCTAGCAGCAGGCTACAGCAGCAGCACTTAGCAAGTCACATGTCAACAGAGGTGCACATAAATGAAAGAGTCACGACCCAGCTGGAGCACTGGCAAACTATCAGTCTCTCCTGTGAAACAGGCCACGAGAGCCCTGTAGAGAATCCTGCCCCTGCTCTACCCGGCCAAAAGAACTGTCAGTCCCAAACCAGCATGGAGCAATGCAGCCTGCGGTATACATCATAACCCCTTTCCTGCAGTGACTGGGCATGTCTCTGCAAAGAACATGCCAAGCTCTGTTTAGCTGGGAAGCTAGCAAACTTGCATAGACTGGTACAGCAAAGCAGGAGTGGACAAATAAGAGATAGGTAGGTAGTGCTCGTCAAGGAGCCCACAGCAGAGCCTGTGTGTACACTGAGCTGTAAAGACGGCTAAATGCATAGGTTGATGGTTTTAACTCTTAAAAGAAGACTGAAAGGATGAATAAATCCAAGACTTCATTCTACAATGCAATCAAAAATCAATAATGAGCTTGCTGAGCAAATTTAAATACAGAAGAGACAACAGAAAACACACAAGATTAAGTTCAAGAAATAAAATGTAACCACACAAGGAAAGATTCTTCAAATGATAAAGAATACTGCATACTCACCCAAACTTATGACAATAAATCTGAAGATATAGGATAAGTAGATAATTTTCTAACAAATACAAACAACCAAAATTAAAGCCAAAAGATTTAAACAGATTGGTTTCCATAGAAGAAGACACTGAAAAGGTAATTATGACTCTACCTAATGAAAAAGACACCAAGTCCGGATGTGCTTTACAAGGGAGTTACATCAGACCTTCAAAGGACACACACGTAACTTCTAAGTGTAATTCAAGTATTATGGGCCAAAGAAAAAGAAGAAACATTCTATACTATATGTTATCCATCTTATCTTTAATCTTCAAATCTAATAAAAAACACAAAATATTTCAATCTCACCTATGAATAGTGAAGACACATTCTAAATAAAATACTGATAAACAGAATTCAGCTTTGTATCAAAATAATAACATACTGTGATCAGCAGGCTTACTTCAGTAATATAATAGTAGTTCAAATCCAGAAATTCTATCAACATAATTCATTGTATTGAAAAAATAAATTAGATCTGGGGTATAGCTCAATAGCACAGAACTTGACTAATGTGTTTCAGGAAAGAAAAGAAAAACCTTGGAGTAAAATTTCAAACTCATGCAGATGCTATTAAAATACAGTAACCAATCCTGTAAGTAAATGTGGATACACAAGAAATGAAAAGTTGAAACCAAATAAATAAACAAATGCCAATAGCAAATGTAAAAACACAGAAAACAGGTTGATTTTAAAATCTTTAGGCAGAGTAGGCCATCAACATGATTTCTATTTAGCTATCTGAGTTTCTACAAAATGCAACAAAAATGTAATTATTGAAAAGATAGAAGAAAAAATGAAATTTACCAGAAATAATAGGAGAATCTGCTAAACATAAGATAAATATTCATAAAAGTCAATACTCATTTTCCTTCAGAGCAAATAGTACTTAGCAATGGAGATGAGGAAGGCATTTGAGCCCCAACAGGAGAAAAGTTATTAATTCTTGAGAAATGCATCAAAAAGAGCATAGAATAGATAAGAAGAAAAGAATAGATCTAATTAACACAAAATCAGATGTGAACATGCAAAGAAATACAATTTCTTAGCTAAAAAGAACCTAATTAAAAAGTGAAGGCCAATGTAATGTAATTCTAATTAGAATCCCAGTAGAACTGGGAGTACTGAGTAAAAGGAAACTTGACAATGTATAAATAGGAAAAGTTGACAAGACGGTGCTAAAGGAATTTTCAACTAATGTCATCAAGTCAATATGGTCTTGGTACACAAGCCAACGGAACAGAACAGAGAATCAATAACTTGAGCCTAGTACATAAAACATTTAATAGCTGACAATGACGGATGTTCAGTTTACAGGAAAAAGCTGTGAGTATGTACTATACTGTTCGAGTGCAACTGGTTATTCATCTTTGGTAAAGCAACTTTAAATAGAATTGGAAATGAGGAAGCTCCATAAGAATAATATTTGTATAGAAAAGAAAAACATTGTGTGAGGCATTCACATACACACACCAACAAAAATTGAAAGCAACAATATACAAGGTTAGTATACAGTAATGGTTATCTCAGCATTGTGGAAATGCCAAGATAAATTATATATTTATGAAGTATTTTGCAGCCTTCTGAATAAGACTTATACTGGTAGACTTTGATAGATTTCCATGAGATGTTGTTGAGCGAAAAAGCAACATGTATTAAAGAATAAACACAATTAACACAACCTTCTAAAGCCACATGTGCTGGTCCACGCACATGGAGAAGGTATGTACTGGTTTAGTACATGGAGGGACAGTGTGAGTTAGGGGCAAGCAAAAAGAAATTACAAAGGACCACTATAAAATATCCAGTAATCATATGAGTATAAAACATAAGTAAACTAAATTAAATTGAGAAAATAAATAGTAAAAATATGAGTAAACAATGTGATTTTTGCTTATCAAAAAAAAAAAAGGCAATAACCGAAATTATCTCTTGGGGGAGGATGGAGGTGGTGCTTATTTTCTGATGAGGATTGCTGCTTTCATCCCTAATGAAACAAAAATCAATGACTATTGCTTTAAAAACATTACACTGACTAATTGAGCTCATTTTGAAAAGGCAAGGGAGGGAAGTGAGGTTAAATAGCCATCTTCTGTGGGAGCCGTCCACATAAAATATATCAAGTCAGGATCCATTACCCCTCACCGGGAAGAAAGTTACTCACCTTGGGCAAGAGACTAAGTGGCCATTCTAAGGAGCTGTTTGCAGCGGCAAATGGGGGAGCTTTCCCCCGCCTAACACTCTAATGACCTAAGTAAATCTGAAAGCCATTTACTCTCCTCTCCACTCGCCAAGCATCTGCTAGGCCTATTACTTCCGGTTCCCTCCCTCTGGCCATTTCACACTGCAGGAATAGCTCCAACATGGGGGCGGGGGTAGAGAGAGGAAATTAATTCAGCCCATTTACCTTCACACTAGCCACTCTAATAAAAGGTCTGATGAGGGAGATGATCACAACTCATGGCGAAAATGAGGGTTCTGGGACTCTTGCTAATTTAATTTAAGTAAACTTGCCTTCAGAGAAACATGTTGGCTTGCTTTATTGAATTGGATGTTTGCTGATATTTGAAAGAAGTCAGGATTTCTAAGGCTAAGGATGTGGCTCAGGGGTAGAACACTGCAGCAGGTATAAGACCCTGAGTTCAATGTCCAGAATCCCTGTCACTTCATTTTGCACCTGAAGGAAAAATGGCCATTAAGACACAGGAACAATGGCTTCAATGGCACATCACCGGTGAAGGGGTAGTTTGGGGTGGGGGGGCTGTGGAATAAAGCCAGGTAGTCCCCAGCAGCTCTCAAGAGTAACCTCAGTAGGACAACAAGCTGCCAAGCCACCCTGCCTTGGATGTGTAACCACAAAGATTGGTTCACTTGGATTTGCCAAGGCTCAACAACAGCTACAACCTATATACAACATGTACATGACAGTTCAGTGGACCTCGACAGATGTTTAATCCTTGTGAAAGGCCAGAGGACCAAGCAGTGCAGTCCAGGGGGGTGGAGACCACATTGTCCTCTATCACCAAATGGAAAGAATAGCCTGAAAAGGAAGGGCCATGGGGTAAAACACAATTTTCTCTTACTTGAAGATGACGATAGCTCCCGGACATGGAGGGCAGGCCAGGAGGAAGATCTGCAATTGAAGAATTAAGAATGGTTAGTGAGCAAAACACTGAGCACGGTGACTTGGTTTTACTTTAATAATAACATTTAAAAAAACCCAAAAGTTTAACCCCCAAAAAATGTAATATAAAAAATTAGAAAAGTAAAATTTGTATGTTTTGTGTGTTAGTTAAAATTTTTATAGTTACATGGCATATAGTTTACCAAAGCACATTTGTAGTGTGTGTGTGTGTGTGTGTGTGTGTGTGTGTGTGTGTGTGTGTGTGTGTGTAAGGGAGAGAGAGTTCATTTTTTCACTGCTTTAACTTCAATATGCCATAAGTAGCCAGTCTTTGAAGCTTTACCCCAGGCCAGGTAAAAATAGATTCTGCACATGGAAGATGCGCACACATGCCATCTGCTTGCCTCCCATGAGGGTAGGTGGGCTTATCAATACTCAGCTGCCAAATTTAGCACATGAAAATGCAGGACACCAAGTTAAATTGGAATTCCAGAGAAACAATGAATAATGTTTTTGAGTAAGTAGGCTGGAAGTGTTGCATGAAGCATGTTTCTATTAAAACATTGCTTTGTGTTTATCTGAAAATTGGAAGTATCTGGGGAGCCTGAATCTCCCCACAACTCTAACAAATTACCACCCCAGACTCTAAAGCCCACTGGATTGTTTGTTTCTACAAATTGACCTAGGGAATTTGTTAATGTCCTGTTATCGTGATGGGCAAAAATGCAACCCAAAAGATCTGTCATTCAGAGGACCATCAGCTCCCTGCTCTTGGGTGTGACACAGGCCTCTAAGGACCTGCAGTTGTTTGACTTTTATTTACCCACACCGTAGTCTTCAACTGTCATCAAGGACAAAACATCCTTTGCAAAATTTGCTCAATACACAAATTCCTGGGTTCTCATAAAGCATTCTGATTCTGCAAACCCGGGACCTCCCCCCACCACATCTGCATGCTGAACAAAAGTTCCAGATGGAATGAGGTCAGCCATTCCTGGTAGCCTCACATGCTCTGGGTTTACTCTCGGACTAAACTACGCAGAGGGTCAAAGACACATGGGACGGAGGATTAACTAAGACCTAAACCTTGCTTGTAGGGTTCCTTGACCCAAACTGATTTGATTGTGTGGTTTAAAAAACCCACTGATAGCTGACGGATTCCATTATGGGCTTGTTGGCTTTGCCAAGGGTGCGTGCTTTAACATTTTGTTCCGCCATTCTCTCAGAATCTACAGCGAGAATAGTCTGTACCATAGGGAAGACATCTGCTTGGCAGCTAGAATCCCTGCTAAGAGGAAAAAGGGGGATTATGGAAAAGAGAAAGTGTCTTAAGAAGAATACCAGTGGGAATCCACCACCTACAATACCCCATCAGAGAACCCCTCCAAGGAAAGAGCCATCTACCAGCACCCACCCCATGCCTTTCCCCTGTGGGTCCATTTGATTAAAGTGCAAAGTCAATGATAATTTCAGGTCCACAATTCTCTATTGGACGCCAAATCCAAAAGGCTCTAAAACAGAAAATGTATGCCTGTTCAAAGCATGACTTGAAACGGGGTACATCTCATTTTATTTATGGGGAATTTCCATGTACTTCTCACAGAACTAAGTTGTATTTCATTGTGTGGAGTAATGCATTCCCAGAACTCACTGGGATTACATGTAAAATACTCTTACCATCCATCGTGTTGCCTTTCTCAAATACCAAAGAAGCAGATTTCTGAACTACATCTAACTCTCCTGGTTTTGAATGAGGATCATATACTTGAAATTTTGATTCTGCAAATATTAGTTCCTCCCCACACTCTAGCCTAGCCCTCAGGAGCGGTCCAAGAAAGAGCTAAATGAAGCTGGTGTTCTTCACCCTAGACACAGCAGGAAGGTTACTTACATTAGGCAAAGGACCAAGTTGGAGGTTGCACATAGTTACCCAGCATCAGGCCACCCAAAGCCTACACTTTAAAGCTACAGTACAGAGAGGAAATCGGGTCCCACCCACCTTGAAAAGGTCTCCAATTCATCTGGAATACCCAGGAGAGTCATGCCAGCAGCCTTCCTGAGTTTCTGATATACCCAGGCACTTGCAACATGCCAACAGAAAGTAAAAATGCAATAGTGGAAAAAAAATGCAATAGCGGGCCTCACAATTAATGAAGTCTTACTTTTCTGTGTCTGTAGCCCAGAGGGGCAAGCACATAACTGTTCAACTGGTTCTGTACTTCCCTACAGCAGATATGTAGGAACCTACTATAAGGATTAAGCCGCCAGTTCCAACCCACTCCATTCTCCAGTTATTCGCTACCACTCACAGAGACAGCCAGCTAGTCTAGTCTTGATGAGTTTACCAACAGTTAATCTCACAGGGCCAAAACGTTCTAATTGACATTCTGGCCTTTCTCGCCTTGCCTGTCTATGACTATCACCAGGATAGAGGACTTTTCTTCAAGCAATCTTTGAGTCAAATACAGTGAATACACTAGCAAAAGACCCCACCTCAATATTCAACACATTCCATTTCTAGGTAACCTCTTGCAGCCACTCGAAAGAGTTCTGAAATTGTAAGGTCACAACTAAAATGATTCTGAGTTGATTGTGCCTTGTAAAAGCAATTTAACTTAGCAGCCCAAGGGTCCCTGGCCTTGCCTTTTTTTGCTTCCTTCACTGGGTGGCTCCACTACCTCCAACTTTTGATGGCCTGTGTTTCAGACTGGCAGAATGAAAACGAAAACATCCCTTGCGCTTTAGGGATGCTTAACAGTAGGAGAGGACATCTAGAAGTACAGAGATGAGAGATGAGAACACATGCCAGCCTATCCCAGCCCCCATGCGGTGTTCTCTATCTATAGTCCAAACTGCCCAGTGCAGCCCCTAAAGCAAAGAGCGAAAACAGGGAGCCAGCGGAACGGTGCTACAGAGGACTGCCACATCCCATCAGAGGCGGGGCCATGTTACTTAACCTCATTTCACAGATGAAGAGACTCGAGGAGAGAAGCTCTCACAAGCACTTCTCATGGAACCCCAATTCAATGTACTTGCCACCTCACACTCATCAAGCAGGCCACAAAGGCTCCTCCTCCCGCCATAGCTCTGCCCATTCTGTGCGTTCAGAGAACACACAGGGCGTTATGCCAGTACTGCCATACATTCGTGAGATCTATTTTCTATACCATGAGACACCTCAAAACACACCCAACAGGGCAGCCCATCACACGGATCCAGCAATACCCACACAAGTTCATTTTAGCTCAAACTCATCTCACCCCAGGTCTGGTGGGTACATGTGATTCACAAACCCTTATGAAACTCAAGTGTTTATGAGATTTGTCATAGAAGGCTGGTCATTCCAGGAAAAAAAAAATGTCCAGATGCTGTTGAAACCCAGTCTTAATTCCCTAGGAAAACCCCCATACAAGTCCAAGATCATCCAGCCCAGAACGGTACATTTAACTCTTTCCGGTTACCCAGTTGCTGTCTCAATTCATTTTCTAACTCTAAAGCATTATGGTTCTAGGCCCCCTCTTTGCCTCCCACCCTCTCAGCCATCATTTGTCCTACTCCCTATTCCTGTCCCCAATCATATTGGCCCCAAGTTTACCACAGACCATCCTAAATGAGCTGCTGGCTCGGTTAAGCACTGGAGGGAGGGGACATGGTTGAACTACAAGAAATGGAAATCGAGAGTAAGGGGAACAAGAGCCTGACATGGAGCCTAGCACACTCGCCTTCAGGTCCCAGTCCTCTGGCCCCAATTTTCCTGGCTCTACTTCTGATGAAGACACCCAGATATCTAGGATTCCTCAGGACAAGTGCTTATGGGTGTTACTTACCATAGGGAGGACCAAATCCCTGGGTTACACAAAGTCTATCCTAAAACTCTACTCACACCTTTGTAGCCTCATCATTTCTCTCTGGACCACTGTGACAATCTCTTCCATGTCACAACGTTACAAGAAGGATCTATCTAAAACGCCACTCTGCTGTGCTATTTTAATCCTCCCAAGGCTGGCCAATACCTAAAGAAAAGCACAGCAGATAAAAACATCTAGGCTCCAGGCTCCATCTATCATGTAAACACGCACAATGCCAACTGTACCCTGAACATACAATATGCTGGTCAATGTGCTTCTATAGCCTCATTTCTTTGTTCACTTTAAAAAAAAAAACTTTTAAAATGCATAGTATGTCTGCGTGTATGTCTTTGCACCACGTAGGTGCAGTGCTCAAGGAAGCCGGAAGTTGGCATCAGATCCCCAGGAACTGGAGTTTCAGACAAGTTGTTAACCATCATGTGGGTGCTGGGACTTGAACCTGGGTCTTCTGAAAGAGCAGGTAGGGCTCCTTACCATAGAGCTAGCCTCATCTACAGCTTAATCACTAACAGCTTCACCTGACTCAATTACATGTACATGCAATCATTTACCAAGTTCCTTTACCATTTCCTTAGTCCACAGTTATAGGAGATTTTCTGGGTTCAAGGAAACAGAAATAGTTACCCCTGCCTATCCATGGGGAATTGGTTATAAGACCCCTGCCCCCAGACCCCCACAATTGTGGATGTTCAACTCCACTATAGAAAATGCCATAACATTTACATATTACCTATTTTTGTTTTCCTATATATTTTAATGACCTCTAAATTACTTATAATGCCTAATACAATGTAAATGCTATGTACATATGTGCCAACTAGATCATTAGGGGCTAATGTTAAGAGAAAAAACTGTCTCATACATTCTAATACAAATGGAATTTTTTAAAAATAGTTTTGTCTTGCAGTTGGTTGAATTCTTAGATATGGAGCCAAAAGATATGGAAAGCCAGCTACATATGCCTTAAGGCTTTTGATTTCATAATGATAACCTGTGCTCTAAGAAAGTTATTTGAATCAATATTTCCTCCAGGCATATATGAGAACGTGTTTTCTTCTGCTGCAACCTGGTCAAATGGTAACTATCATTTTGAAAAGCTCTAAGAAACTTATGTGGGCTTTTGTTGCTGTATTTTTTTTT